CAGCCAGCATGTAAAAAAACTTGTCTCACCGCTAAGGTTTAACCGCAGAGGTTCAGTTACACGTCTTCTGCAGAGAATGTGAAAGCCGCACAGCCGCGCCAAGGCACCTCTATAAGCCGGTGACAAATTGATGAGTGCGTTTGTCATTTGTTTTGCTTGACTGCTGGAAGCCAGGGCACTTCCTGATGAATTGCTGCACCGATTGATGGCCCTCTGGACAAAGTAATGGTTTCTGGGTACCTGCTACTCTGGTGTAGCACAGGCCAAAATTTCATGAGCTAGAAAAACGGGATCAGGATCGTCCTTCTGCAGCAAGTCAGTGACTGTGTGATGAAATAATTCCGCTGACTCCTCATGGTCACCTGGAGGGCTATGTGTAGGTTGGTGCAGTACGGCCAACGGCCACTAGATGTCCCCATGGGGCCCTAGAGATAGATGTAGCTCTGGCCTGGGGAGACTCTGTGTCCCAGGAGAGTTGATTTATAGGGGGCTCCCGAGAGGGGAAAGTGCAGTACAGGAGAGCAGAAGTCTAAGACTGTATGCAGAGTCTCCGGAGGGAGACTGATTCTAAAACATAGGCTGGTCCATGGGAAGGACAGGACCAGGCCTAGGACTATGTAGAGCTACAGAGATTCCCCAGTTTCCCCTGGAGGGGGAAACCACCGAGCTACCCTGTTTCCCTGAAAATAAGACCCTAGTACTGTTTTTGGGAATTGCTAAAATATAAGACCTACCCCGAAAATAAGACCTAGTTGGGACCATTCCCAGGGCTGGTGGTGGCGTAAGGGGGAACTTGAAGAGCCGCGGGAGAGAATCAGCGGTGCCAACTAAGCCAGCGCTAGAGGAAGCCACCGGAAGGGAGCAAAGCCGCATAAGCCGATGCCTCCTCTATAGTGCTAGTGAAAGTGCGCTTCACTCATTCTGGCCAGCGATTGGTTGAAGTGTGGATTGTTGTACATTAGAAAAAAAAAAGACCAACTCCGAAAATAAGACCTAGTGTGTTTTTTTTGAGCCAAACAAAATGTAAGACAGTGTCTTATTTTCGGGGAAACACGGTAGGACTGACAAGGATGGGATTCCGGAGAATAGTGAGAAGCTATGAGACTGACGATATTTGCCGGTGGGCCTCGGGCCGAAGTAAGTCGTGGACTCTGGGCTGCACCTGGGCTGTACCTCTCTCTCTCTAATCTGTATCACTATGCAACTATCAAGAACTGTGCCGTCATCCCACTCGGAGGTGGCTGAAATGTATGCTTATTGTCATGTCATCTTTTCAAGTAAAAACAAGAAAAGACTCACTGTGTGGACTGGTTCTTCTCCCTCCAGCCTCTGAGAAGGTTAGGAGACTGATTCTAAAACATAGGCTGGTCCATGGGAAGGACAGGACCAGGCCTAGGACTATGTAGAGCTACAGAGATTCCCCAGTTTCCCCTGGAGGGGGAAACCACCGAGCTACCCTGTTTCCCTGAAAATAAGACCCTAGTACTGTTTTTGGGAATTGCTAAAATATAAGACCTACCCCGAAAATAAGACCTAGTTGGGACCATTCCCAGGGCTGGTGGTGGCGTAAGGGGGAACTTGAAGAGCCGCGGGAGAGAATCAGCGGTGCCAACTAAGCCAGCGCTAGAGGAAGCCACCGGAAGGGAGCAAAGCCGCATAAGCCGATGCCTCCTCTATAGTGCTAGTGAAAGTGCGCTTCACTCATTCTGGCCAGCGATTGGTTGAAGTGTGGATTGTTGTACATTAGAAAAAAAAAAGACCAACTCCGAAAATAAGACCTAGTGTGTTTTTTTTGAGCCAAACAAAATGTAAGACAGTGTCTTATTTTCGGGGAAACACGGTAGGACTGACAAGGATGGGATTCCGGAGAATAGTGAGAAGCTATGAGACTGACGATATTTGCCGGTGGGCCTCGGGCCGAAGTAAGTCGTGGACTCTGGGCTGCACCTGGGCTGTACCTCTCTCTCTCTAATCTGTATCACTATGCAACTATCAAGAACTGTGCCGTCATCCCACTCGGAGGTGGCTGAAATGTATGCTTATTGTCATGTCATCTTTTCAAGTAAAAACAAGAAAAGACTCACTGTGTGGACTGGTTCTTCTCCCTCCAGCCTCTGAGAAGGTTCTCCAGGAGTGTGATGTTGGACTGTATCGTGGCTGTAACCATCCTGAGGAGGGTAGGTGCGCAATGGGGCTATGCCCGACACAGGGTGCCGTTCATGGTGGCATTTCTCCCTACGGAGGAGGAAGCGCCGAATACCGCAGAGGCGGTGGAAGCCATGAGGCCCTGTGTACGCAGTACTACACGTGTGGGGGTTGTTTGCACGAGGACAGAGCCGAGGCCCCTGACCGTGGGGTGCCTGGTGTCGAGTTGCATACACGGGGTTACCAGAGTTAACCCAAAGGGAAACACCCCGAGAGTGAACCCCCGCCTACATATGGTGGGATTAGCAGAAGAGGAGCTGAGGCTAGGTTCACACCAGGGTGACTCCTCACCACCCGGCAATCGTGCACGAAACCGCGCGGATTGCCGCACGGTCACGGAGCCGCCCACCGCAGGCGATCGCGCTGTGGGCGCCGTTATTGTATATTACGCGCGGACCGTGCGTCACAAAAAAAAGGTTACAGGTAACTTCTTTTTTTTTTTAGCGATTGTCGTGCAAATGTCACCCCATTGAAATAAATTGGGCCGCGCTACAACCGCTGTGTGCGCTAGCACATGATCGCGCGTCCTGGGTGTCGGGCAGATGTGACAACCTAGCCTGAAGGAGGAAAGGGGCACGTTAGCACTCGCAGCTATTCGGCTACTCTGCTCCTGCCACCCACCCGAATCCCCCGCCATGTTTCCCGGGCACCACTGCTCCTTCTGCGGGTCTGGAACTGGCATCTCGGGTGTCAGCGGAAAGCTGGGGAAGATACCATCGAACATCCGTTGGCTGGTCTTGTCCCCGCTGAATAGTACGGGGAGCGACGCCGATTGCATCACTTCCAGTCCCGGAGCTGCCATTGCTCCGGCTGCAGAAGCCGGGGTCAGTAAGCTATTGGAGTGCGATTTGTGCTCCAATAGCTTATTTGGAGTAAGCAGGTGATAGTAGGGGTCTTTTGGACCTCCTAGGGTCGCCTTAAAGAGTACCTGTCACCACTAATGTGCTACCACATAGGGCAGTGGTGGGGAACCTTGGCACTCCAGCTGTGCCAAAACTACAAATCCCAAGATGCATCTGCCTCTGGGACTTATGTCTGTGGCTGTCAGAGCCTTGCAATGCCTCATGGGACTTGTAGTTCCAAAACAGCCGGAGTGCCAAGGTTTGCCATCACTGACATAGGGTGTTGTAAGCTCCCTTATGTGACAGCAATTAAGTATAAATAAATAAATAAAAATAATTAAACAAATCTTTTTAAGTCGCCGACCTCCACGAGCGTGCGCGTATTAACACAAACATGTTTCAGGTGCACCTACATAAGAACACAGCGATCACGCTACACGTGTTGGGTATCGCCGCACATGTCAGAGTGAAAGCAATAATTCTCAAGCCAATGTTTATGGGTATCTTAAAACTGATGACCTGTGGGGGCTTTTAAAGCATCACCTATACACAGGGCCGGATTTCCCACAAGCCCAACTGAGGCCCGGTCTCGGGCAGCAGGGAGTAGAGGGGCAGCATGGGTGTGGAATGCCTATTTCCCGACATACAGGGACATGCAGTTCCCGAGGCGGGCGGGTAGTTGTTTTCTACATTTAGCCCTGCTTTGGGCAAGCAGGGCTAAATGTACAGCGGGGGAAGCCGCCGCTTGTTTTGTACAAGCGATCTCGACGAGGCCACCGGGATCACTTGTATGCAGCCTGCACACAGGGGGGCGCATTGAGGAACCTGGCCTTGGGGCTGCAGAGAGAGTAACTCCAGCCCTGCCTATAAACAATTTGAGGTACCATATGTTGTCGCCGTTTCACGGACACACACAATGTTTAACCCGGGCATGTTGGGTATCTTTTTACTCCTCATAACCTCACCTGTTATATTTTATTTAAAAAAAGGTAATTATATTGTGTTTTTGGGCACTAGAATTAACTCAAGTGCATTTTTTACAGAATTTCTTTGGGTTTGATAAAGAGTTGCGTTAATATGGTTTGACATAAGAACGTGCAGCCGGCAGCGTTTTATTCTACAGAGTCTTTGCTTTCACAAAATATATCATGTATAGAAAAATATCATACTAAAAAAAAAAAGGCAGCGAATGGGTCAAAAGGTTGGTATTTGGTATCATTAAAAGGAGGCCCCTTTCCTCTCTGGTTCCCCCCAATGGACAGAATTTAGAAACCTGGTCTCAAAGTATCCCCCTAACCGCCCACCCCCCCCCCGCTCTTCCAAAGACTTCCTGCTTTCCAGCTCCCTTGCCAACTCCTCCCATGCTCGCCTCCGGGACTTCTCTAGAGTCTCTCATCATCCTCTGGATCTCTTTACCCCAACCAGTCCATCTATCTCCCACTCTGACTGCCTTTAGGCGTTCCCTTAAGACTCATCTCTTCAGGGAAGCCCATCCTACCTCAACCTAACCGCTCAACCATTCATCCCCCCACAGCTTCCTCCTCATGTATCACTGGCCCCTCCCTTTTAGATTGTAAGCCCTCAGGGGCAGGGCCCTCCTCACCATCTTGTCTTGATTTGTATTGTGATTGTGATGTCTTCCTTATATTGTAAAGCGCTGCGCACACACTGTTGGCGCCATATAACCCCTGTATAATAATAATAAAGACTTTTAATGGGGTCAGCAGCTGAGTTCAGGGTTCCGGATTTTAAAAAAGATTCAGCAAATCACAAAATAAACTGGGAAAGATTCCCTCAGCGCTACTTTAGAGGTTCTCATTAGAAGGACCATATACTCATAATTGTCTATTCATATGGAGCCTTCACATGGTTCATGTTCACAAGCTCATCACCTAGGACAAGACTCTTCTCAGCGACATTTCCCAACATAAGAGCTCATTGATCAATGTTCAGTTCTGAATCGTGTCCACACAGAATTCCAGTTCTCCTTCTACATTTCAGGATAGATAGTTGGAGCTATTGCTGAGGGAAAAGTCTCTGAATCACCTTATTTACATTAGGCACTAAGGACACATTGTGTCTCCTCAGTATATTATCTGGAATGAGTTTCTCTGTGGGGATGTCTCTACTCCGTTTCTGCGTACAATGGAAGGTGATGGCCATATCTTGTTCCACATTCTTCCATTCTCCTCTGTGCTTCAGAGCGGAGTGGATGGAGGTCTGAAATACGTCTATGGGGTTCACAATCATTTTGCGGCCATTGAATAATTTCCGATTAATAGGTTCTCGGAAGCTATGGTGGAGAATATTGACCCCGGGAAGATGAGGCCACAGGTCAAATCCAGAGACGTTGATGGAAGTAGGGAAGCCGTGATTCTCTATGCAGAAGACACTTGTATCTGGATGTTCATTCTGAAGACTCTCCATCAGTGATGACCAGTCCCAGTCCTTGACCGGAAGAATAATTTCATCAATGTCATTGAGGAGAACAAATTTACTTGTGTACATGTTCCTGTATAGACAATCATTTAAGGTGGCAGTTTGCCCAAAATAACTAATCTCAGAGCTGAGTCCTTTGGAATACTGCCATTCCTTAGATGTCTGAAGATGGCGGTCTATTGGCCATGACACAACCTCCAGAGAGCGCGTCCTGGGTGTCGGGCAGATGTGACAACCTAGCCTGAAGGAGGAAAGGGGCACGTTAGCACTCGCAGCTATTCGGCTACTCTGCTCCTGCCACCCCCCCGAATCCCCCGCCATGTTTCCCGGGCACCACTGCTCCTTCTGCGGGTCTGGAACTGGCATCTCGGGTGTCAGCGGAAAGCTGGGGAAGATACCATCGAACATCCGTTGGCTGGTCTTGTCCCCGCTGAATAGTACGGGGAGCGACGCCGATTGCATCACTTCCAGTCCCGGAGCTGCCATTGCTCCGGCTGCAGAAGCCGGGGTCAGTAAGCTATTGGAGTGCGATTTGTGCTCCAATAGCTTATTTGGAGTAAGCAGGTGATAGTAGGGGTCTTTTGGACCTCCTAGGGTCGCCTTAAAGAGTACCTGTCACCACTAATGTGCTACCACATAGGGCAGTGGTGGGGAACCTTGGCACTCCAGCTGTGCCAAAACTACAAATCCCAAGATGCATCTGCCTCTGGGACTTATGTCTGTGGCTGTCAGAGCCTTGCAATGCCTCATGGGACTTGTAGTTCCAAAACAGCCGGAGTGCCAAGGTTTGCCATCACTGACATAGGGTGTTGTAAGCTCCCTTATGTGACAGCAATTAAGTATAAATAAATAAATAAAAATAATTAAACAAATCTTTTTAAGTCGCCGACCTCCACGAGCGTGCGCGTATTAACACAAACATGTTTCAGGTGCTCCTACATAAGAACACAGCGATCATGCTACACGTGTTGGGTATCGCCGCACATGTCAGAGTGAAAGCAATAATTCTCAAGCCAATGTTTATGGGTATCTTAAAACTGATGACCTGTGGGGGCTTTTAAAGCATCACCTATACACAGGGCCGGATTTCCCACAAGCCCAACTGAGGCCCGGTCTCGGGCAGCAGGGAGTAGAGGGGCAGCATGGGTGTGGAATGCCTATTTCCCGACATACAGGGACATGCAGTTCCCGAGGCGGGCGGGTAGTTGTTTTCTACATTTAGCCCTGCTTTGGGCAAGCAGGGCTAAATGTACAGCGGGGGAAGCCGCCGCTTGTTTTGTACAAGCGATCTCGACGAGGCCACCGGGATCACTTGTATGCAGCCTGCACACAGGGGGGCGCATTGAGGAACCTGGCCTTGGGGCAGCAGAGAGAGTAACTCCAGCCCTGCCTATAGACAATTTGAGGTACCATATGTTGTCGCCGTTTCACGGACACACACAATGTTTAACCCGGGCATGTTGGGTATCTTTTTACTCCTCATAACCTCACTTGTTATATTTTATTTAAAAAAAGGTAATTATATTGTGTTTTTGGGCACTAGAATTAACTCAAGTGCATTTTTTACAGAATTTCTTTGGGTTTGATAAAGAGTTGCGTTAATATGGTTTGACATAAGAACGTGCAGCCGGCAGCGTTTTATTCTACAGAGTCTTTGCTTTCACAAAATATATCATGTATAGAAAAATATCATACTAAAAAAAAAAAGGCAGCGAATGGGTCAAAAGGTTGGTATTTGGTATCATTAAAAGGAGGCCCCTTTCCTCTCTGGTTCCCCCCAATGGACAGAATTTAGAAACCTGGTCTCAAAGTATCACCCTAACCATCCCCCCCCCCGCTCTTCCAAAGACTTCCTGCTTTCCAGCTCCCTTGCTAACTCCTCCCATACTCGCCTCCGGGACTTCTCTAGAGTCTCTCCCATCCTCTGGATCTCTCTACCCCAACCTGTCCGTCTATCTCCCACTCTGACTGCCTTTAGGCGTTCCCTTAAGACTCATCTCTTCAGGGAAGCCCATCACACCTCAACCTAACCGCTCAACCATTCATCCCCCCACAGCTACCTTCTCATGTATCACTGGCCCCTCCCTTTTAGAGTGTAAGCCCTCAGGGGCGGGGGCCCTCCTCACCATCTTGTCTTGATTTGTATTGTGATTGTGATGTCTTCCTTTATATTGTACAGCGCTGCGCACACACTGCTGGCGCTATATTATATGGCCCTGTATTATAATAATAAAGACTTTTAATGGGGTCAGCAGCTGAGTTCAGGGTTCCGGATTTTAAAAAAGATTCAGCAATCACAAAATAAACTGGGAAAGATTCCCTCAGCGCTACTTTACAGGTTCTCATTAGAAGGATCATATACTCATAATTGTCTATTCATATGGAGCCTTCACATGGTTCATGTTCACAAGCTCCTCACCTAGGACAAGGTTCTTCTCAGCGACATTTCCCAACATAAGAGCTCATTGATCAATGTTCAGTTCTGAATTGTGTCCACACAGAATTCCAGTTCTTCTTCTACATTTCAGGATAGATAGTTGGAGCTATTACTGAGGGAAAAGTCTCTGAATCACCTTATCTACATTTGGCACTAAGGACACATTGTAACTCCTCAGTATATTATCCTGAATGAGTTTCTCTGTGGGGATGTCTCTACTCCGTTTCTGCGTACAATGGAAGGTGATGGCCATGTCTTGTGCTATATTCTTCGATTCTCCTCTGTGCTTCAGAGCGGAGTGGATGGAGGTCTGAAATACGTCTCTGGGGTTCACAATCATTTTGCGGCCATTGAATAATTTCCGATTAATAGGTTCTCGGAAGCTATGGTGGAGAATATTGACCCCAGTTACATGAGGCCACAGGTCAAACCCAGAGACGTTGATGGAAGTAGGGAAGGCGTGATTCTCTATGCAGAAGACACTTGTATCTGGGTGTTTATCCTGAAGACTCTCCATCAGTGAAGACCAGTCCCGGTCTATGACCGGAAGAATAATTTCATCAATATCATTCAGGAGAACAAATTTACTTGTGTACATGTTCCTGTATAGACAGACAATCATTTAAGGCAGCAGTTTGTCCAAAATAACTAATCTCAGAGCTGAGTCCTTTGGAATACTGCCATTCTTTAGATGTCTGAAGATGTCGGTCTATTGGCCATGGCACAACCTCCAGAGTTCCTTCATCAATGTAATGACGTAACACCTTATCTACATCCCGGGAACAGCTGGTGTTATACATGGTGACTCTGGAGGCCCCCAGAATCTTGTACATCTCAATGCTCTGGATCATCTGGAGGACATTGTTGTAGTTTCCATACAAAGTAGAAATGCAGACGGTGAAGTTGTTAGAGATCGGCTGTGGCGGACGGTTCCTGACTTCAAACAGGAAGTTCTGACTCGTGTCTGTGGACGTAGTTGAAGAGAAAGATATATAAGTGTAATCACACCCAGAAGGTTCTGGACACAGGAGTTCCGCTGTTCCATATGGGAACCCAAATCTGTCACTGTGAAATGCTATTTCAGCCCTGACGAAGACGTCCTGATTGGTGGAACAATGGAAGATACAATAGAGCTCGGTCACAGATAATTGGATGATGGTGATGACCCGAACTGATTGTCCAAGTCTAGGCTCATAATACGGAGCGATGATGAATGTTCCATTATCCAGAGCAGTGATGGTGTCTGTGGCAATGGGAAGGTTCTGTCTTCTCATCTCCTGATGTCCGGATTCTACATGGTAGTAGAATGAAATGACAGCACCGCACATAAATATGGACAGTGCGCAGAACATGCATCTAGAACGCGTCCACATTCTGGTCCCGTCAGAAGATCACGGCTGCAAGAATATAAGAAAGTGAGTAAAAAATAAAATACGTTCAATGGGATTTAAAGTTTGTAACTCTAATCTAGAATTAAACCAAATCCGCAACATATACCGCAGTGCCGTACAGAGAACACTAAGCCAGTCACATCATTCTCTGTACAATGGAGCTTACACTCTAATCTCCCCCGACCTCCGCACACTAATATTATTATACATTTATATAGATCTGACATATACCACAGTGCTGTATAGAAAACAAAAAAACATGACCCAAGGCAGTATTTTGGCCGAGGCACATAATGTGGACTTTGCTGTGCATGGCTCCCAGGTTGTGGCCCTCAAATACACCTGGACTGGCAGAAGATGACAACAGGATGAGGTAGAGAATGAAGAGGCGGCATTTTTGTCTACACATGCAAGGGGTCATAGTTGGTGGTAAAATAGGGGAGACAGTATTGTGGTCTACACATGCAAGGGGTGATGGTTGGTGACAAACTAGGGGAGACGGTATTGTGGTCTACACATGCAAGGGGTCATAGTTGGTGACAAACTAGGGGAGACGGTATTGTGGTCTACACATGCAAGGGGTCATGGTTGGTGACAAACTAGTGTTGCCATCCGTCCAGGATTGACGGGTCAGGGTTTTGAATGCTCTGTCCGAGTTTCATGGCAGCAGAAACCCGGACACAAGATGTCAGGCAGACAGGGGCAACCAAAATTAAGATAGGGGCTACTAAAAATAGACTTGACTGTGATATTTTCATATGAATAAGCCGTGACTCATTCTCCCCCCAAAAAATGTTTGTGCTTCGCTAGAGTGTTCATGTTTCACTCGAAAAAAAGGTAGCAACCCTATGGCAAACAGAGCATCCAACAACAAGCAAAGGTTGTGGTGGACAAGCAGGTATCATGATCATGGGCAAGCTGGATCATCAACGGAAAACAGAATCCGGATCAGGAGATAAGAACTTTCTTATTTAGCACGCATGGCAATCTTCTACAGGTGTGACTAGAGATTCTCCAGCAAGTGGTAAAACCCAAAACCACTAGATGGTGCGGGCGCACTCCTATGGAGCATACCAGGGCCGTCACTAACTAAAACCACTAGATGGTGCGGGCGCACTCTTATGGAGCATACCAGGGCCGTTCTCAACTAAACCCACTAGATGGTGCACGTCTGAGGAATAAAAGGTGAAGCTGCAACTGGATTTACATCACCAACAGGAGCAGTGACAGGGAAAATGTCATTGATTGCTATAAGCCTGTCTTGCTTTGCCAGCTTGTGGACTTCAGGTTGTGTAAACTCTCCTAATTCTTCAAGTTCTTCATCTCTGAGGTTGAAGTAATACGCTTCCCCTTCTGCCATGTCCTCTCTATCATGTTGCCCTAGGGTTAGGGTTAGGGTTAACCCTAAGTAATAACAACAGGTGTGGCACACTTGTTTTTCTCCACTGGGCGATCATCATCATCATCATCATTAATATCACATTCTATCTATATTATTATCACTAGGGATGTCCCGACAGGGCAGCCATCGGAAATTTTGGGGCCCCTTACACGGCTTTAGGCCGGGCCCCTCCCGCACCGCTGGACGCAGGGCTTAGTGACGCGCTGGACGCAGGGCTTAGTAATTCCAAAAGATGTCACCAGCACTCCAAAAGTAG